AAATAATATACAATATTAATTAAGATAATATAAATATGGTAATATTTAACCAAATAATTACCATTTACCAAAATTAATATATAAATATAATAATTATTAAATAAGGCAAAAATGGAAAATGTATGGTAATTGCATATTAAATGGGAAGATGCGTACCAGCGGCTCGTCTTCTTCCAACGAAACGCAGGAAAAGCAGCGAAGAAGCAGGGAAGGAGCATCCTTCTCCATCCTCGGAAGACGCCGCCAGAAGGAGAAAACCTTCGCCGACCTCAATAGCAGCGCAGATGGAGCAGCGATCGGAGCCAGCGCCACTGAAGGAGAAAGGCATAGTAGCGACAGTCGCCGGGAAGCTACCCCGCCCCCGCCGTGCCACCATGCTACGCGTCGCCGCCTGTCGCCTGAAGCGGAAGACGAAGCATGACGTCACCAGGAACTCAGCCTTGTCGCCGCCGTCTCTTCGTCGCAACGCCACCCACCGCCGTCAACAGGGGTAGCCGGCGAGCCAACGACAACCGGAGTCCAAACACCGGAAAACAGCGTTGAGATGACGCTTAGATCGAACAGCAGTGCAGCGGCGAGAACAACTTGCGTCAATGCCTTATGTGTCTGTTCTCCTCCATCCGCTTTACCGCCGCCCAAACGGTGCCGAGGCCGCACTTTACATCGTCTCCCCGCGCCGTCCATCTCTGCCACCATTGTTTCCAGAAACATAGGAGATGGTGGCGACCATGCCTAATGTAACCTCAACGCCGCAGCTTACCGTTCCGGCGAACCTCCAATCGCAGAACTCGGAAAACAAAACGACAACGGGCAGTGAAAAAAGAAAAACAAAATATACACCAATAGTAAAAAATCCAGGTATATTCATCATATTCAAAATAAATATACATCAAAATATTTTTGCTCCAAAATATGCATAGTAATATACTTTAATAGCCAAAATCACTTTCAAAAAGCATAAATTATGTATATGCATAGTGATTTACAAAAGTAATATATGAATATACACTGGAAATTGCTACCATTACATTGGCAACAAAATTTGTATAGCATATATATTTTATACAAAATATATTCATGCAATTTTGACGAACTAGGCAGAGATTATACAAGGCTCTGATACCAAATGTTAGATACACACACAATTTGAACACATGTGATGACCTAACCTCATAGCGGAAGCATAATGATCAAGCAAAACTTCAGCCATAGTTGATACTTTGTTGCAAAATATTGTTGCTTCAAGAACTTCAATGATCATAGTTTTGTTGTCTACCATTAATCTCCTGTATGAACTAGATTGTGTAGTTGTAAAGCTGCAACAAGAGCAATGGGAGGACCATGCTTAAATAGCCTACATGCCATCATTATAGGCTAAGTAACGGAAACCGTTACTTCAGTTTCAAACCACAACATAATGGCCATAATTGGCCTATTAAACTTGCACCACTTAATAGTGTAATTATAATGAAAATGTTACAAGTAATGGTTTGATCAGTGGGAGTGATCATGTGGAAAGATCATTAAAGATGTCCTACTTCAAGATTGCTCCACTTCAAGGATAAGACACCTTGTCTTGTTATTATAAAATCAATAGTTCAAATTGTTGTACTACAAGTTGTGCAACATATTTCTGAAAATGTTGTAACAACATTAATAGTTTTTATTATTATAATAATAATAATAATAATAATAATAATAATGGCATTAAGTTTTGGTGAATTATCACGAGTTAGATTTTCTTTAGCATTTATTGGAGTCTTTAGTCTCATCAAATTGATCCTGGGCCATTATGTTTTTAAAATGCTCAAAATTCAATGTTGAGAGACATAAAACAAAGACTCATGATGTTGGTTCATATATAGATGAGTCTTGAGGACTTTTGATTATGATGATACAATATTTTGTTGTTTCATAAAGTTACATTAATAAGTCCTCGTTATTGCTCTCTGACATGAAAGTTGAGCTTTCCTTTTTTGTTTTGAAGATTATTTATAAGGTGTATGTTTAAAGTTCCGTTTGTGGGCTTAGACTCAAGAATTTGTTATCTAAGTCGTTGGAATATAGACTACTCAATTACTGTCGTTTGCTAAGATTAATGAGAGTGGGAGTGACAGACGTGTCGACTCTGAAAACTTAGCTCTTAGCGATAGTATTAAAGATAATGAGTTAGTCATACAACATATTAACATTATGCTAATAGTTGTGGATCCCTATTTAAGGCATGCTTATAAAAAATTTGGGATCATACATGATACATGGAACTTATTATGTGACTATATTGTACGTACATTTATGTTGTCACTTCTATGTAATTTGGATGGTTTCTCCTATGGTTATGCGCATATTTATTTGAGAAACATCCATAAGGTTGGATCGAGAATAAACGTAGGGTTTATTCATAAAGATCCTGAATTGGGAATCAAAATGCATGTGATGCATAGATGGTATTACTCACACTTTAATTTAGATGACATACCACTATGATTCATGTTTTTGATCTTCGGTAAAGGTTGTGCCAATACTTGCACCAAATGAAAAATTGTAACATTTTCCATTAATGTTGTACAAATAAGTGGTGTAAGTTTATTAGGCCAAATTTAGTCATTGCGGCAATAATTAGTTTTTGATAACTAATTACAAGAAAGAATGAACATAAGGTTTATTCATTAAGTTTTATACTACATAAGGTACTTAGAGAAGAAGTTACATTGTAATCATAAGTAAATACTACTCTGATTAAGAGGAACTATCTCTATGGTTCATATTTTTGCTTCTTTGAGTTAATACTTGCACCAAGTGGGAGAATGTAACATTTTCCATTTGGTCACAATTAAGTGGTGCAAGTTAATAAGCCATTTATGGCCATTATGTTGTGGTTTGAAACGGAAGTAACGGTTTCCGTTGCTTAACCTACAATGATGGCACGTAGGTTATATATATATATATATATATATATGTATGTATGTATGGTTCTCCCACTGCTCTTGTGATTTTTGGTACTTCACCATCTAGTTAAACAGGAGACCTTAAGTGGTAGACAAAACACCAAAGTTCCTTACAATTTTTGAAGCAATGTTGTAGAGATGACATCTATGGCTGGAGGTGTACGATCTTATTGGCTTTCGCTATGAGGTTAGATCATTACATGTATTATACTTGTATATATTTTTTTGAAAACATACTTGTATATATTTATTCTAACACATCTTTCAATTCTTTATTAACTTTATAAAGATGTACATCGTTGTGAACATGTTGTTGCCCCGGTGTCTACCTACCCACCACAAATCATCATTCAACATGACACAAATTTCAGAGATCATAGCAATGAAATTTTCAGTGCATTCAGAAATGAGATTAATAATTTCACCATCCCTCGCCATAATCACCATTACCTTGGCTTTAAATTTGTCTTCCTTTTCTTTTAAATTTTACAATCCCTTTTAAAATGCGGACCACTACACGCCCAATAGGAAACATATGTGTTTTTCCCTTTGGCTTTTTTTTTTTTTTTTTTTAAAAAAAAAATTTATAAAATTTGGTGACTTTACCTGCTTTCCTTTTCCTTTATTGTTTCCCCTTGATTTGCCTTGTTTCCACTAGATTTGCCTTCACCAACATATATAGTTGATAACAGAACCTGGAGTCATGGAGCCTTTGGCACTACATGCACTTTTACTTTTTTGTAGTCGAATTCAATTCCTTCCTCAACTCAAAGGTCAATGCCCAACTGTTCCATGATAAGCTCTTCCTTATTATGCTTTAAGGAATGTTGAACCTTCTTCCATAAATGTGAAAACTTGTCAATGATACAATCAATGGCAATGGATTCATCCATATTCATATTGTGTTGTTTGATCTGCCCAAGAATCCGGGCATTCTCTTGGAATTGTTCCATGATAGGACGATTGTCCACCATCTTGTAATTGTTGAAATCAGTTACCAGGAACTAGCTTATTACTTGAAGTATCTTCAGATATGTACTTTGTCTCAAGTACATCCCAAAGGTCCTTTGAATACTCCTCATGCTTATAAACATCAAAGAGAGTGTCAGACATACCGTTTAGGATGTGACCACAACAGATGAAATCATCGTTCTCCCATTTGATCCTCCAGCGAGTTGCGTCAAGAGTTTCATTCTCTTGTTCCTTCGGCTTCGGGATACTGAGAACGTATGCATGCCACGTTGAGAATAGCTGGGAGGAAATTCATATTCTTTTGCCATCTTCGGAAACCTACGCCTTCAAACTGATCAAGTTTTTGAAAGTTGGTAGCTAAATCTCATAAAGTGAACTCATGATCCTCAAAATGGAACCAAATATTTAACACTTATAGATTCATAGAAATAGTGTATCTAAGTGAGGGTGATGAGGATTGAGATTATTAGGCGTGTAAACACGTTCCTATAAGTTTTAAATCTCCCTTAACTAAGTAATGATGTTAAAGACTTAAACTTATGAGATAAAAGCTAGAAGATGTTACAAAATTCTCAAGTATATTGTTTTGGATCAGGGTCCACTCCTAATGCAAGGTGGACCCACGGTATTACAATTGCATACTCAAATCAGTCAAATGGGTTTAAGGTATGAATCATGTATGATATATTTTGCTTGGTCTCTTCAAACTTCTGAACATTAATAAGGACCTGCATTGGGGATTCTTAACTTCTGAATACAACACTTAATAATTGAATTTACACAATAATGTTTACTGCATGTGACCTTGATCACTTATTCCATGGATCCTTAATTAAAAACACAGAACATGAAAGTTTCAAAATGACACAAACAGAAACATTAATCCTTAAATTAAAACACAGAACATGAATGTCTCAAATGACACAAACAGATTACTTGCAAAAGTTTAAAGTCACAAAGTTCCAAACCATAAGTGGAAGTTTCATGTCTTTCCTTGATGCAGAATATCATCTGTAGCAGATTGACTGTGCTCATCAATTTGAAGAGAAACCATTCAAGAAATCCAGTATTCAGAGCCTGTTATAAGTACCCTGACAAAAATAAAGAAGAAAGAAATTACAGCAACCATCATTTGGGTGAAAGGGGATGTGCTATGGAAAAGAGAAGAGATGAGCATAGATAATGGAGAAGTATCTATTTTACTTACAGTTTCCTAGTTCCAGATCAGAATTGAGTACGCGAACATTTAGGTTCTCGTTTCCCAGTGCCTCCATGCCTTCCTGAATTTTCTTGACTGAGCGAGCGACAGAGCTGTTGCATTGATCAATTTCAATTACTTGTAGAGTAGTAATATCTTCGAAATCAGATGGCACCTCTTCAAGATGCCTGCATTTTGCCACAACCAGTCGCTCAAGTTTGGGAAAAGATTCAGCAGTGGCATTCCATCTCACAATCCTGGATTCGCATATTCTCAAGAACTTGAGTTTGCGGAAGTTCCCTTCCTCAACATCCCATTGCTCACCATCAAATGCTGAGAACAGTTCAAGAAACTCAAGACGGGGAAGCTTGGCAATTACTGAAATGCCATCCCATGGCAGGCGAAACTTGTGGAGTGTCAATTCCTTGAGACTTGGTGGAAAGTCAAATGCGGAATGGATTGGTGCATTCAGATGGTCACTGGCGTAACATGCTTCCAGAGATTCAAGCTGATCAAGAAATCCCAACTTAGGGAATCTACAGCAATTCCTATACCATGAATTTGAAAATCTGCATCTAAGTTTTTGGAGATGAGGAAGCTTCCTCAACAGATGCTCATCCATGCGTGAGCTGAATAGGATCGGGACGGAAAAGGTTTGGAGATTTAAAGGCTTTGGGGGTATACGGAAAAAATTTCTACTATTGAGGCACCAATGACAATAGTGATCTATATGCAAATGTCTCAAACCCTCTAAATTCCAAATCATGAATGGTAAATGCAAATCCATACTTGATTTCACCTTGAATGTTTCTAGATGGTGAAGATGCTTTAGAGATGGCTGTCGAACTGAACCCCACCCTATTAGACAAACAGCAAGGTACCTTAAACAAAGGAGAAACTCCACCATGGACAAAAATGATTTGCCCACAAATACGGACTCCAAGTCCAGTACTCTCACAAGTTTGAATGTGCTAGCTACCCATAAACCAGAGGAAAGATCCACATGGCATCCAAAGAGGGAATTTGTGCCAAGGTTAGGATTATGTGATGAAAAGCACAAAAGCGTGCCAAGACTAGGATTAAGTGACATAGCTGAATCAGGAGAAAGATATTTATCATTCCTTTTAAGCAAACAAAACCGATCATAAGTAGTAGAAGTCAATTCCGAATGTGGACTGGATTGTTCACTGTCTGTTTGCATCAAGAATTTATCTTTCTTGGCTTTTGTCAGACAAAAGCTACCTACCAGATCATGAATACGGCATGTTCTGACACTGCCATTGTATCCCCTGGTGGAAACCATTATTAGGTTACTACCAATTAGGTGATTCAGGTAGTCCTCTGCTTCATCCTCCGGCACCTTCTTTTCTATTTGTTTCACAAACCCTTCAGCCATCCACAGCTGTACCAATTTGGAGACTGGAATTTCTTGGTCCTCTGGGAACGCCCCAAAGTAGAGAAGGCATGGCTTTAAATGCTCAGGTAAATGCTTGTAACTCAATGCTATTACATCCATGCTCCGAGATTCATCTCCCCTGATATGTGAGCTTAAACTTTGAAGAAATTCATTCCACGAGAAGTATTTTTCTTCAATCTTTTTTTGTAGAATACCAGCTACCAAAACAACCACCAAAGGTACTCCACCACATCTTTCTGCTATCTGTCTCCCAAATTCCTTTAACTCTGGATGGCTAACATTCTCTTTAGATAGCTTTAACTGCAGTAAATCTTGGCTCTCTTTAGTAGTGAAAAAACGAAGAGAATAGGGATCAGCACCAGACCTGCAGTAAATCTTGGCTCTCTACTTGTTAAGATGATTCTGCTTCCTTCTGCGCCCAAGGGAAAAGCTCTACTTAACTCATCCCATGCTTCTTTTCTCCAAACATCATCCAAGACAATGAGGTATCTTTGTCCTAGCAGTTTCTTGCGTAGCTTCTCAGCTATGTTGTCATCCCAGCTTTTACTGTCTTTGCATTTCTTATTTAGGCTTATGAGCAACGTTTCAACTATATCATTTAAGCTTTTGAATAATGTTTCCAGCATTTCTTTCCAACTGTCATTCTCTTGGCACTTTTCATTTATGTTTTTGAACAACACCCCAGCAGCTAGATCCTGTAGGCTTTTGAACAACTTCCGAACTTCATCATCTGTTCTCCTAATGTCTTTTTTGTCTACAATTTTGCTTTGGCTTATCGCACTTGTTATTTCTTCCCACATCTTAATGTCTTTGTGCCTTTCCACTCGGAATTTGGGAGACATTTCAGTGGCATCATCTCTGACATTATTGTCTTCAAAATTCACAATTAAGCTTTCATACAACGGCTTAGCAATATCATCCCAATTCTTGGTGTTTTCACACTTCTCCATTATGCTTACGTGCAGTGTACTAGATATCTTTTTCCAGCTGTTATCATCTTCGCTTATTTTTATTAAACTTTCATACAACACTTCAGTCGTATCATCCCTAATCTTGTGGCCTTTACACTTCCCCCGTAGGGCCCTGCGTAGTGCTTCAGAAGTATCAACCCAGCTTTGCTCATCTTTGCACTTTTTCATTAAAATTTCAAGCACCACTTCATCTGTATCATCCTCACTCATATCGTCTGCAACTTGACTAAAAATTTCATGGAATACACGGTTCTTGTCATATTCATGAGAGACACAGCACCATGCCCGAAAATGAAACCAATCAATAACAGGTTTATGGCAAAACACCTTTCTGGCCAGAGTTGTCTTGCCGAGCCCAGCCATACCAGTAATTGATACAACATCTAGCTCTTTTGGTTCTCTAATCAGCAGGCCTGTTATGTTTTCAGTTTCATCCTCAAATCCCACCACAATTTCATCAAAACCAGGAGACGTTGGGATGTCAGGCATTGTCCCAGTGAGTTTAAAACCCTTTCTTTAAATGAGCTTAGTTTCTCCTGTTACATCATGTATGATATTTGGCTATGATAAGAAGTATGAACATTTAACCTTAAAAAGCATATGGCATACCTAACTATTACTCCTTGAAACAAAAACCCAGAAAAAAAAACATAAAAAACAATGAACAATACTGATTGTTGAAAGGAAAATGACTATTTACAGAACTTCTGCACAATGCAACTTCACAACTTTTAAATTTTCACTGAGCACTTAATGTGTATCTTGTACTATCCAGAGTAATATAAATTTAATCCAAAGTGGATAAAATAATGCCTATTTTCTGCTATCTAATCACATCTTGCAACTTTTTGCTCTAATGCATCAATGTGGATGAAGAGTAGTTATAAACAGGAAACAAACAGTACAATATTGTGTGGAACATCTAATGCAAAAATGAGTAATTTTATGTTCTAGTGGGGACAATAGTCGAAGGAAATCCAAACAGACAGCAGATAATAGTTGTTGAAAGCTTTCAATCACTCATGGGTTGCCAATTAATTTAAAGAATCATGAGACTTATCACACTCGATTCCAATGAGTATAAATTCTGATGGCAAGTTATGAGTCCAAGTAGCATTTTCTTAATTCACCAATTATCATGGGAGCAAATGATCTTTAAGGGTGGGATTTGAATATTATTTTATCATGATTTGTATGCACTTTAAATTTGGTTCAGATATATGCATAATTCTTTGAACCTAACAGACTTCGTATAAGCATTTTACTGTCAAAATCCTTGAGAAAAGAAAAGATTAAAGGAAATTCTAGAGCATGGCTTTGCCAGAATCTCTTCTGTATAAAAGTCAAGAAAGGTTCACTCACATTAAACACGCATTGTTGTCTGTTACTACAAGATCAACGATATTTCAACTAACAAATGTAGTTTCATTTCTAAAGTTGGAGGTGTTTTTGCTTACTACTTTCAAAGCTAAGAATAGAAATGAAAATTGATTAAGGATTTTTAACCTCTAAGGATAAGAGTGGAAAAAGGAAGGGAAAAGGTTTATCATTTCCATAATTCCAATCCTTTTCCTCGACTCTTCATTATTATTATGGGAGTTTCTTCAATATGTAAATTATTCAACCTTGTAGAAGCAGATGCAAACACTAATAATTCATTGATTGGAGACTAACAGATTTGAAAGAAAAACTTTGTGCAGCAGTTTGGAGACTAAAGGGCTCACCTCAATCCCACAGCGGGCAGCCCCTCCTAGCTCCAAATTTGATAGCTAGCTTGCCTGTTGATGCTGGTTTATAACTGCAAATTAAGACAAGGTCAAGACATCCATTGCGGTTGCTATATATATATATATATATATATATATATATATATATAGAGAGAGAGAGAGAGCTTACATTTTCTTGAGAGTTTAGACAGAGAGAGAGAGAGGGAAAGCATATGCAGAACAAAGGTGAGTGCTTGGCTCTTTCAAGTTTCAAATATATGGAAATATGTAACAGATCACATGACACATGTGCCACCCTTTGGGGAACTATTTATTTACATAGTTTATTTCATAACTAACAAGGTTTTGTCCGGATGTGGAGCTGCTTCAGGTGCCAGCTGGAAACCAAGAGTTGACTATGATGAACTGCATCTAAGTTAGATACTATATTATGTTTGAGTGATCTAATTAAAGATTGTAAGTCTGTAATGAGATATACTTTACAATATATATATATATATATATATATATATATATATATATATATATATATATATATAATCCAAACAGAACTGTTAGAATATAAATAATATGATAGTATGATATATTAAAATAGAACTATCTGTATTAACGTTTTATTCAAATTGAAATATCTTGCAATTAGAGTTTGTATGAGTTATTACATAATGTACACAGGACAATTAGAATAAAAATAGCATTTCCTGTGAGAATCCTTAATAAATACAAACACAAAACTCTAAAATGACACAAATACAACATTAAAAACCAGAAATGGAAGTTTCACTGTCAATTTGAACAGAAACCTTAATAAAATGACGCAGAACATCATCAGTAGTAGAAAAACTGTGCTTATCAATTTGAACAGAAACCATTCAAGAAATCCACCTTTCACTGTCAATTACGAATGCACTGACAAAAATAAAGAATGAGAGGTGTTGAGGTTTATTCACTCCACCCTAAAATATCCGGGTTTAATCTGCATTTTTGCTTAGCCAAATAAGTGAGTTTTGTGTTGATAATCAAAGTTTTGACTAAATACACAAGAATATTCACAAGTTCAATTCTTGTCATCAATCATCAAACTTATGGAATATTTCTAAGAAAAGCATTTTGTCTTCATAATTTTCTTTTTCTGATTAATATAAAGTAATACTACAAGGTTGGAACCACTTAATGTGATTGCCATATAAAGGAGAGGGTACATTTAATGCACCCCTCTAAAGGGAGAAGTCATCCTAGGCTGTTTTGCATCGCTTGACAGATAATTTAATATTTTATTTAGATTTAGAAAGATGAATGAATGAAGAACAAGGTTACAAGGATTAGTATCAAATTATATATGAATGCTTGCATAAACATGTAATTCAACTTAAATGAATAATTTTCATATTCATCTATGTTCCATCTTTAACAATGAATACACACTAAAACCCCAATAAACAGAAAGTTTGATAGTAATGAGCACTAATTATGTGATCACATCCCTACTCAAATGTGGGAGTGCATAGGAGCAGTCTATTTACACATAATGTTTTCTGGGAACTTGATCACTTATTCCATTGATCCTTAAAAACACAGAACATAAATGTCTGAAATGACACAAACACAAACATTATAATACTTGAAAGATTTGAAGTCACTGAAGCACAAAGTACCAAACCAGAAGTGGAAGTTTTCCTTAACGCAGAATATCATCTGTAACAGACTGACTGTGCTCATCAATTTGAAGAGAAACCACTGAAGAAATCCAGTTTTCAGAGCCTGTTACAAGTACCCTGACAAAAATAAAGAAGAAAGAAATTACAGCAAGCCAGCAACCATCATTTGGGTGAAAGGGGATGTGCTATGGAAAAGAGAAGAGAAGAGATGAGCATAGATAATGGAGAAGTATCTATTTTACTTACACTTTCCTAGTTCCAGATCAGAATTCAGTACGCGAACATTTAGGTTCTCGTTTCCCAGTGCCTCCATGTCTTCCTGAATTTTCTTGACTGAGCGAGCGACAGAGCTGTTGCATTGATCAATTTCAATTACTTGTAGAGTAGTAATATCTTCGAAATCAGATGGCACCTCTTCAAGATGCCTGCATTTTGCCACAACCAGTCGCTCAAGTTTGGGAAAAGATTCAGCAGTGGCATTCCATCTCACAATCCTGGATTCGCATATTCTCAAGAACTTGAGTTCGCAAAAGTACCCTTCCTCAACATCCCATTGCTCATCATCAAATGCTGAGAACAGTTCAAGAGACTCAAGACAGGGCAGCTTGGCAATTACTGAAATCCTATCCCATGGCAGGCGAAACTTGTGGAGTGTCAATTCCTTGAGACTTGGTGGAAAGTCGAATGCAGAGCGAATTGGTGCGTTCAGATTGTCACTGGCGTAACATGCTTCCAGAGATTCAAGTTGATCAAGAAATCCCAACTCAGGGAATCTATAGCAATTCCTATACCATGACGTTGAAAATCTGCATCTAAGTTTTTTGAGATGAGGAAGCTTCCTCAACAGTTGCTCATCCATGGGTGAGGTGAATAGGACCGGGACGGAAAGGGTTTGGAGATTTAAAGGGTTTGTGGGTATACGAAAAGAATTTCTCATGTTGACGCACCAAGGACAATAGTGATCTATATGCAAATGTCTCAAACCCTCTAAATTCCAAATCATGAATGGTAAATGCATACCCACACTTGATTTCACCTTGAAAGTTTCTAGGTGGTGAAGACGCTCTAGAGATGGCGGTGAAACTGAATCCCAACCTTTTAGACAAACAGCAAGGTACCTTAAACAAAGGAGAAACTCCACCATGGACAAAAATGATTTGCCTACAATTATGGACTCCAAGTCCAGTACTTTCACAAGTTTGAATGTGCTAGCTACCCATGAACCAGTGGAAGGATCCACATCGGATGCAAATATGGAAAATGTGCCAAGGTTATGTGATGAAAAGCACAAAAGCGTGCCAAGACTAGGATTGAGTGACAGAGCTGAATCAGGAGAAAGATCTTTATCATTCCTTTTATGCAAACAAAACCGATCATAAGTAGAAGTCAATTCAGAATGTGGACTGGTTTGTTCACTGTCTGATTGCATCAAGAATTTATCTTTCATGGCTTTTTTAAGACAAAAGCTACCTACCAGATCATGAATACGACATGTTTTGACACTGCCATTGTATCCCCTGGTGGAAACCATTATTAGGTTACTACCAATTAGATGATTCAGGTAGTCCTCTGCTTCATCCTCCAATACCTTCTTTTCTATTTGTTTCACAAACCCTTCAGCCATCCACAGCTGTATCAATTTGGAGACTGGAATTTCATAGTCCTCTGGGAATGCCCCAAAGTAAAGAAGGCATGGCTTTAAATGCTCAGGTAAATGCTTGTAACTCAATGCTATTACATCCATGCTCCGAGATTCATCTCCCCTGATATGTGAGCTTAAACTTTGAAGAAATTCATTCCACGAGAAGTATTTTTCTTCAATCTTTTTTTGTAGAATACCAGCTACCAAAACAACCACCAAAGGTACTCCACCACATCTTTCTGCTATCTGTCTCCCAAATTCCTTTAACTCTGGAGGGCCAACATTCTCTTTAGATAGCTTTAAATGCAGTAAATCTTGGCTCTCTTCAGTAGTGAAAAAACGAAGAGAATGGGGATCAGCACCAGACCTGGCATATTTTCCAACATCATATTCTCTACTTGTTAAGATGATTCTACTTCCTCCTGTGCCCGAGGGAAAAGCTCTACTTAACTCATCCCATGCTTCTTTTCTCCAAACATCATCCAAGACAATGAGGTATCTTTGTCCTAGCAGTTTCTTGCGTAGCTTCTCAGCTATGTTGTCATCCCAGCTTTTACTGTCTTTGCATTTCTTATTTAGGCTTATGAGCAACGTTTCAACTATATCATTTAAGCTTTTGAATAATGTTTCCAGCATTTCTTTCCAACTGTCATTCTCTTGGCACTTTTCATTTATGTTTTTGAACAACACCCCAGCAGCTAGATCCTGTAGGCTTTTGAACAACTTCCGAACTTCATCATCTGTTCTCCTAATGTCTTTTTTGTCTACAATTTTGCTTTGGCTTATCGCACTTGTTATTTCTTCCCACATCTTAATGTCTTTGTGCCTTTCCACTCGGAATTTGGGAGACATTTCAGTGGCATCATCTCTGACATTATTGTCTTCAAAATTCACAATTAAGCTTTCATACAACGGCTTAGCAATATCATCCCAATTCTTGGTGTTTTCGCACTTCTCCATTATGCTTTCGTGCAGTGTACTAGATATCTTTTTCCAGCTGTTATCATCTTCGCTCATTTTTATTAAACTTTCATACAACACTTCAGTCGTATCATTCCTAATCTTGTGGCCTTTACACTTCCCCTGTAGGGCCATGCGTAGTGCTTCAGCAGTATCAGCCCAGCTTTGCTCATCTTTGCACATTTTCATTAAAATTTCAAGCACCACTTCATCTGTATCATCCTCACTCACATCATCTGCAACTTGACTAAAAATTTCATGGAATACACGGTTCTTGTCATATTCTTGAGAGACACAGCACCATGCCCGAAAATGAAACCAATCAATAACAGGTTTATGGCAAAACACCTTTCTGGCCAGAGTTGTCTTGCCAAGCCCAGCCATACCAGTAATCGATACAACATCTAGCTCTTTTGGTCCTCTAATCAGCAGGCCTGTTATGTTTTCAGTTTCATCCTCAAATCCCACCACAATTTCATCAAAACCGGGAGACGTTGGGATGTCAGGCATTGTCCCAGTGAGTTCAAAACCCTTTCTTTTAATGAGCTTAGTTTCTCCTATTACATCATGTATGATATCAGGTTATGATAAAAAGAATGAACATTTAACCTCAAAAAGTATATGGCATACCTAACTAATACTTCTTAAAACAAGAAAACCAATGAACTATACTGATTGTTGAAAGGAAAATGACTATTTAAACAACTTCTGCACAACGTGACTTCACAACTTTTTAATTTTCACTGAGCACTTAATGTGTATCTTGTATCATCCAGAGCAATATAGAATTTAAACCAAAGTGGATAAAATAATGCCTCTTTTCTGCTATCTAATCACATCTTGCAAGTTATGTGTCCAAGTAGCATTTTCTTAATTCACCAATTATCATGGGAGCAAATGATCTTTAAGGGTGGGATTTGAGTATGCACCATAAATTTGGTTGAGATATATAAATAATTATTTAAAGCTAACAGACTTCGTATAAGCATTTTACTGTCAAAATCCTCAAGAAAAGAAGAGATTAAAGGAAATTCTAGAGCTTGCCAAAATCTCTTCTCTATAAAAGTCAAGAAAGAGTTGCTAACATTAAACACGCATTGTTTTCTGTTACTACAAGTTTAATTTCTAAAGTTGGAGGTGTTTTGTTTACTACTTTCAAAGCTAAGAATAGAAATGAAAATTGATTTTGGATTTTTAACCTCTAAGGTTAAGAGTGGAAAAAGGAAGGGAAAAGGTTTATCATTTCCATAATTCCTTCCCTTTTCCTCAACTCTTCATTATTATTATGGGGAGTTTCTTCAATGTTTTTTCCTAAAAATGTGAAAAATAAGGGCATTTTTATCACATTTCACTCTTTTCTTTCTTTTTCCAATCTAATTGACATCACCATTGTATTTGACAATATTTAAATTATTCAACCTTGTAGACGCAGATGAAAACACTAATTCATTGATTGGAACAACAAGCATAACAGATTTGAAAGAAAAACTATGTCCAGAAGTTTGGAGACTAAAGGGCTCACCTCAATCCCACGGCGGGCAGCCCCTCCTACTTTGATAGCTAGCTTGCATGTTGATGCTGGTTTATTACTGCAAATTAAGACAAGGTAAAGACATCCATTGGGCTTGATATATATACACGCACACACACATATAGAGAGAGAGAAAGAGAGACTATTTATATATGCAGAACAAAGGAGACTGCTTGGCTCTTTCAAATAGATGGGTTACTTGTTCAAAGAAAATAAAAGAAAGAACCAATAAAACAAAGCTGGTGGCTATTAATATATGGAAATATGTAAAATATCACATATGCCACCCTTTGGGAAACTATTTATTTATTACATAGTTTATTTCATAACTAACAAGGATTTGTCTGGAGTGTGGACCTACTTCAGGTGCCAGCTGGAAACCAAGAGTTGACTATAATGAATTGGATCTGACCAATTCAGAAATACTATATTATGAGTTTGAGTATTTTAATGACTGTAAGTCTGTAATGGGATATACTTTATAAATAAATAAATTGTTATATATATATATATATATATATATATATATATATATATATATATATATATATGTGTGTGTGTGTGTGTGTGTGTGTGTGTGTGTGTGTGTGTGTGTGTGTGTGTGTGTGTGATCCAAACAGAAATCATAAACTCAAATTCCACTGTTAGAATATAAATAAAATTATATGATATATTAAAATAGAACTATCTGTATTAAAGTTTTAGTTAAAATTGAAATATCTTGCAATCAGAGTTTGTCTGAGTTATTACATAATGTACACAGTAGAATTGGAATAAAAATAGCATTTCCAGTGAGCCTGATCACTGAATCCTTAATAAACACAAATACAAAAGTCTCAAATGACACAAACACAAGTACACAACATTAATATTATCACCTTGGAAAGGTCCAAAGTTAAGAACCACAAATGGAGGTTTCACTGTCTTTCCGTGATGCAGAACATCATCAGTAGTAGACACAAATGGAGGTTTCACTGTCTCAAATGACACAAACTGGGCATATCAGCAGGCCAGGCCCATCCAGGTGAAAAAGAAGTGTAAAAAAATAAACATAGAGAAGAGATGCAGATCAATGATGGTGAAGTGGCATTGATGTATATTATCACCTTGAATGCAGAATGGATTTGGTGAATTAAAGTCGCCACTTTTACATTTAGAAGTTGTACCCTATCAAAAATAACAAGTAAATAATCTCCATTAATCATGTGAATAGGTAAAAGAGAAGTAATGTTGAAGTGTTCAATTGACTTATGTTATAGAATATTCTGTGATATTGAGAATCCTATATATTAGGAAATCAAGAAATTAGAGTTTGAGGTATATGGAAACTTCCATATCAGTTGTCCTCTAGCCCTGCATTTATAGAGAGCTGAAATCCTCCCTAAAAGTGTGAGAGAAAGTGAGAGAGAGCTGCTCAAGAGGTATAGCACTCTAAACCTAATTACATGGTATCGGAGCCCCTTCAATAAATTTTTTTTCCGGCGGTCTCCTGTCGTCACCGCCCACTCAGAAAGGTCCGCCGGCATCCGGCGACCACATCTGCAGCGTTTCCCGGTGTTCTGCCCTGCGCGTGGGCCTCACGCGCCACCACCACCGCCGCCTCCTCCGTCACGCGCCGGCGCGTGCGGCTGCTCCGGTGACTGGAAACTTCTCCGGTCAGGTCTACCAGGGTCGCCTAAGTCCTGCCGTCTCAGTTCCGGACTTAGTTTGGACCATTGCCACTTCGGTTCTAAGGTTAGGTTGTTTCGTACCCCTTAGGCTCACTTTTTGGCGTAGTTTCTGATCTGCTTGGGCTCAAGTTTTGGTGGGTATGGCTGATAATAAATCTGTTGTTGTCACTGATATTGTTCCTGTGACTTCTAAGATCACGGACTGTAAGCTTAATGACTCTAATTACTTGGAATGGACTCAAGTCATTACTCTTTATCTCACTAGTTTGGATAAGACAGATCACCTAACATCATCTTTGGCTGACCAAGAGCCTACTTGGGTGCGGGATGATGCACGTTTATTTCTGCAGATTCGTAATTCTATTGATGAGAGTATTGTTGGTTTCATTAGTCATTGTGGTTCTGTTAAGGAATTGATGGAGTATTTGGATTATTTGTACTCTGGGAAAGGGAATATTACTCGTATTTATGATGTTTGCAAGTCTTTTTATCGTGCTGAGAAACGAGATTTATCTCTTATGGCATACTTTATGGAATTTAAGAAAACATATGAGGCGCTTAATAAGCTTATGCCTTTCACTACTGACATTAAAACACAGCAACAACAACGTGAACAACTGGCTGTTATGAGTTTTTTGGCAGGTCTCCCTTCTGAGTTTGATACAGCTAGGTCTGCCATTCTGAGTACCTCAGACGTCCCTACTCTGGCTGCTGTATTCCCACGTTTGATTCGTTCGGAGCAATTGCAACCGAGTCTTTCCGGTGTAACCATCCCACCAAGCAGTGCTCTCGTTGGCCGCCATCCTCGTAGTGGGAACTCCCAGGGGCAATCATCCAATCCGCCTCATAGTGGGAATAGTAGAAATTCTCAGGGGTACAGTTCTGGTGGTATTGTATGTCATTATTGCCATAAGCCTGGGCATATAAAAAGGGATTGTAGGAAGTGGTTGAGGGAGCGGGGAAATTCTGCTGCTAATATTGCATATACACCTGAGGCATCTTCCAAAACGGTCATGGTCTCTGCGGATGAGTTTGCCAAGTTCTCTCAGTACCAAGAATCCTTGAAACATTCATCCTCTTCGGTCACTGCTATTGCTGACTCAGGTAATACAACCACATGCCTTCTCTCATCCTCATCCAAATGGGTTATAGATTCGGGTGCTACAGATCATATGACAGGTAACTCTAGTTTATTTTCCACGCTCTCTTCCCATCCACATAGTTCCCCTGTCACCTTAGCGGATGGATCCTCCTCTCGTGTACTTGGGTCTGGGTCCATTACGCCAATCCCCACGCTTCCTTTGTCATCTGTCTTGCACCTACCTAATTTTTCGTTCAATTTAATTTCAGTCAGCCGTCTTACTCGTGTTTTGAATTGCTCCGTTACGTTTTTCCCTGATCATTGTGTGTTTCAGGATCTTATGACGAAGAGGGTTATTGGTAAGGGGCGCGAGTCTGGAGGTCTCTACGTTCTTGACACAGCGAGGCCGGAGTCTGTTGCGTGTTCTGGTGCTGTCACTCCAGTTGAAGCACATTGTCGTTTGGGGCATCCTTCCCTTCCCTTGTTGAAGAAATTGTGTCCGCAGTTTTCTAGTTTGTCTTTTTTACATTGTGAGTCGTGTGAGTTTTCTAAGCACCATCGTGTGCATTTGAGTCCTAGAGTTCACAAACGAGCGTCTGCTCCTTTTGAGTTAGTACATTCTGATGTTTGGGGTCCATGTTCTGTGACATCTAAACTCGGTTATAAGTATTTTGTTACTTTTGTTGATGATTTTTCCCGCATGACATGGTTATACCTACTGCAGTCTCGTTCTCAATTGTTTGATGTGTTTTGTGGGTTCTGTTCTGAAATTGAAACTCAATTTGGTATTCCTGTCAAAATTTTACGTAGTGACAATGCTAGAGAATATTTTTCACATCCTTTTGCCTCTTATATGCGTGGGAAAGGTATGATACATCAGTCCTCTTGTGTTGACACACCTTCCCAAAACGGGGTGGCTGAGCGGAAAAATCGGCATCTGCTTGAAACTGCGAGGGCCTTGATGTTTCAGAGGGGGGTTCCCAAGCAGTTCTGGGCTGATGCTGTTTCCACAGCCTGTTTCTTGATCAACCGTATGCCCTCTGCGGTTTTGGATGGGAAAATACCTTGTCATACTCTGTATCCTTCGAAACCTTTGTTTCATATTGACCCACGGATATTTGGTTGCGTGTGTTTTGTTCGGGATGTCCGTCCCAATGTCTCCAAGTTAGATCCAAAGTCTTTGAAGTGTGTATTTCTTGGTTATTCTCGTGTGCAAAAGGGTTACAAATGTTACTCTCCTGAGCTTGGTAGGTACCTTGTTTCCATTGATGTCACCTTTCATGAGGATGTTCCTTTCTTTCCTGCATCTCCTGATGTTCTCCGTGAGGGGGAGAGAGATGATATCTTGATGTATACGGTCATGTCCTCTGTTCCTATCTCTGTTCCTACTCCTCCTGTCTTACAGGTGTATTCTCGTAGACCTCGGCCTACTGCACCTGTTCCGGCACCACCTCCTGCTTCCCTTCCGGATCCAGTACCAGCTCAATGCCCTGAAACCACCTCTGTGTCATTTGATCCAGTCTTGGATGATGATCTTCCGATTGCTCAACGGAAAGGTAAACGTAGTTGTACTTATCCTATTTCCTCTTTTGCGAAATATGATCGGCTGTCATCTGCCTCGTGTTCTTTTATTGCTTCCCTTGATTCTATTCTAATCCCTAAAACTGTTACGGAAGCCTTATCCCATCCTGGGTGGCGTAATGCCATGATTGAAGAGATGACTGCTTTGGATCACAATGGTACTTGGGAGTTGGTCACTAAGCCTGCAAATAAGAAGCCTATTGGTTGTAAATGGGTGTTTACCGTCAAAGTTAATTCTGATGGGTCTGTGGCTCGTTTGAAAGCCCGCCTTGTGGCTAAGGGATATGCCCAAACTTATGGGGTTGATTATTCTGACACTTTTTCTCCTGTGGCTAAGCTTACTTCTGTCAGATTACTCATTTCAATGGCTGCCATCAATGATTGGCCTTTACATCAGCTTGATATCAAGAATGCTTTTCTGCATGGGGATCTTCTTGAAGAGGTATATATGGAGCAACCTCCTGGGTTTGTTGCTCAGGGGGAGTCTGGAAAGGTATGCCGACTTCGGCGATCGTTGTATGGGTTGAAACAAAGCCCACGTGCATGGTTTGGAAAATTTAGTCAAGCTGTTGAGAGCTTTGGGATGGTGAAAGGGAAATCGGATCACTCCATGTTTTACAAGTGGTCCAAAACAGGTATCATCTGGTTGGTAGTCTACGTAGATGACATTGTCATTACAGGGAGTGACACCGAAGGGATTTCATCTCTCAAGTCATTTCTTCATAGTCAATTTCAAACTAAAGATTTGGGACCACTGAAGTACTTCCTGGGTATTGAAGTTATGAGAAACAAAACAGGTATATTACTATCTCAACGGAAGTATGTACTTGACTTACTCTCTGAAACAGGAAAATTAGGTACTAAACCATGTAATACTCCCATGACACCGAACTTGCAATTGTCAAAGGAGGGGGAGTTGTTTGAAGATCCTGAGAGGTATAGAAGACTAGTTGGGAAGCTAAACTACTTGACAGTAACTCGTCCAGATATTGCATACCCAGTTAGTGTTTTGAGTCAGTACATGGCATCCCCAACTATTGATCACTGGGCAGCTGTAGAGCACATTTTGAGTTACTTAAAGGGAGCCCCAGGACATGGAATCTTGTATAAGAATCATGGTCACACTAGGATTGAGTGTTTTACTGATGCTGATTGGGCAGGGTCCAAAGAGGATCGTAGATCAACAACTGGATATTGTGTGTTCTTTGGAGGTAATCTGGTTTCCTGGAAGAGCAAGAAGCAGAATGTAGTCTCTCGTTCGAGTGCAGAGTCTGAATATAGAGCGATGGCACAATCAACGAGTGAAGTGATGTGGATACACAACCTTTTGTATGAGTCTGGTTTCAAAGCTCCAATTCCTGCAAAGCTATGGTGTGATAACCAAGCTGCTCTTCATATTGCATCAAACCCGGTGTTCCATGAACGAACTAAGCACATAGAGATTGACTGTCATTTTGTACGTGAAAAGATACAACAAGGGTTAATCTCCACAGGATTTGTGAAGACAGGAGAACAACTCGGGGACTTATTCACGAAGGCCCTTACTGGAACCCGAGTCAGTTATTTGTGTAACAAGTTGGGCATGATTAATATCTTTGCTCCAACTTGAGGGGGAGTGTTATAGAATATTCTGTGATATTGAGAATCCTATATATTAGGAAATCAAGAAATTAGAGTTTGAGGTATATGGAAACTTCCATATCAGTTGTCCTCTAGCCCTGCATTTATAGAGAGCTGAAATCCTCCCTAAAAGTGTGAGAGAAAGTGAGAGAGAGCTGCTCAAGAGGTATAGCACTCTAAACCTAATTACAACTTACATTTTTTTGGTTCAGAATCAGAATTCCAAACACGGACACTGAGCTGTTCATTTCCCATTTCCTTTTGCTCTTCCTGAATTTCCCTGACTGAACTGGCTAAAGGGCAGTTGCACCGGTTCACTTCTATTACATTTAGTGTATAAATTTCTCCGAAGCTCAAAGGTACCCCTTCAAGGTACCTGCAGTCCACCAAAACTAGTTGCTCAAGCCTAGGAAAGGAATCAGCAGTGGCCTTCCATCGTGCAATCCTGATGTTGCGTAATTTCAAGAATTTGAGTTCCAAGAATTTGTGATCTCCCACATTCCATTCTTCTCCCTCAAATGCTTGGTGTAGTTCAAGAGCCTCAAGTTTGGGTAGGTCTGCAATTGTTGAAATATTACTCCATGCCAAGCGAAAATAGCTTAGTGTCAATTGCTTGAGACTTGAAGGAAGTTTAAACATATGCCGACATGGCCCTGAGCAAAGTTCGTTATAGTAGGATGCCTCGAGAAATTCCAGGTGGTGAAGAAAGTGCAATTCAGGCAATTGTTGGTGGTAAGATTCTGAAAACCTGCAGCTCAGCTTCCGGAGATTGGGAAGCCTCATCAATGTATCCTTTTCTCTTATATGATTGGTGAGAACTGATGTGGTAAAACTTTGTAGATTTTCATACTTTTCGTTCAATTGAATTTGAGCTGATTCCTCTCGGCATAAAGAGCAGTAGTGATCTATATGCAAATGCCTCAGATTTCCCGCATTCCAGAAAATATATGGTAAATGCAAATCACTATTTGACTTCACCTTGAAAGTTTCAAGATGGCCAAGACCCCCTAGTGATGGTAAGATGTAACCTTGACCTTTAAGGTGGATGGCCAGGTACCTTAAGTGAACAAGGTAGTGCATCCTGTCCAAAAATGATTCTCCCACAACAATACACTCCAAGTCCAACACTCTGAGAAGCTTCAATTTGTAAGTCATCCATGAACCGTCATGGATGGTACGAAGGAATCTAGAGATTGAATAGTATCTTTCACCGAGGACAAAGCATAGAATTGTTAGGATACTAGAATTCCATGGCATCCACGATTCTGCTTCTATTTCTACCCTTGGGCAAAGCTCTACTTAACTCATCCCATGCTTTAGTTGTCCAAATATCATCCAAGACAATGAGGTATCTCTTTCCTATTAGGAATCTTCTCAGCTTTTCAGCTATATCGTCCTCTCTCATCTGGTTCTTGCACCCAATAACTTGACTGTAAATATTGTGCATCAAGACTTTCAGGTCATATTCTTGAGACACACAGCACCATGCACGGACATGAAAGTGACTGGCGACAGTATCTAGACAATATACTTTGTTGGCCAGGGTTGTCTTACCAAGCCCGGGCATTCCAGTAATTGATATAACATCTAATTCGTCTGGTCCTCTGGTAAGTTGGTCTATTATAGTTTGTGTTTCCTTCTCAAAACCCACCACTGAATTGTCAGGACTGCCAGGAGTTGGGATATCAGGCATCCTCCCACGAAGCTTTGTAACCTCAGTCTTGATAAGCTTAATCTCTCTTATCACATCATTTAAACTCAGATGATGGCACAAGCCATCATCATTAAGCCTCAGGAAGTGAATTACATATTCTGCATCATAAGCCAATCCTACAGCACGAGCTTGAAGATTAGCAAGAGATTCATGTTCATTCCTTTTGAAAAATGAATTCAAAAAGGCAAGCTCCTTCTGTATTATCCCAATTTGATGTTCCACAGAAGCAAGTGAATTATCCATGGAGTTCATAAGACTGTTCAAGCTGTGCAGCAGATTCTGAATGGGGAACAATCTATCAGTTACAGGTTTGTCAGTATCTCCGAGATGAATCTCTTCAATCTGTTTACGATTGGATTCAATCTTCTCCAAAATGTCAGAAGTTGCAAGCTGCATGTCACCTTCTTTGGCTCCATTAATTGTGTTATCCTTGATCTTGTGAACAAAAAATCTTGCCTCATTGACAATAGATGCGATGCATGCTAAGACATCTTTTGATGGCACAAACTCCGTAAGATAACTTTTTAAGATGTCTATCCCTTTTAGAATTTGAGCATTCATAGGAACATCTGAACTGGCCATGCTGTTCTGTAGCTCAGATAGATTGCCCCAGAGAAATTTGGCAAAGTTATCTGGCTGTTTAATCTTGGCTGAAATTTCTGAATTTGACCACAGTGAAGCTCTTGTGGCATTCAAGAAAATATCTTGCAGCTCCAGCTCAATAAGCTCAATCTCACATATAAGGCGAAATGATTTCTTTATATCGATGCAGTCTATGTTGAATTCAGCCCAAAAGGTAAAACAAAGATGTGCAATTTCAAAAGCCATGGTCCGCACCTGTGTAGACAGATACTCAAGTTTCTCATGTACAATCCTGCCTCTTGTATTGCAGAAGTGGAAATCTCTGAGAAGTCTCAGCTTATTCTTGAGGACAACAACTTGTTCCAAAGTAAGTTGTGTAATGAAATCAGCACGTGATGTATAGTTGAGAATCCATAAATTCCAACAGATATCCATCAGACATGTTTGTCCCTAGACACGAAATCTGATATGATAACTTTGGACGTCTGAAATGAGTTTCATCCCCAATACATTGGTTCACGTATTTTGCATGAAAAATCAGGTCAGAATCAGATGTTTTCTTGCCAAGTGAGTGAAGAATTTGATCTTCCACAAATCTGATATGAGTGTTCCTGATCTTGTCCAAGTGAGGGGACAAATCAAAATGTGGATACTTGAAGTAATAAAAGCCAATGATTCTTAGCTCCATTTTAAGCATCTCAACTTCATTGTCACTTTCTAGGCTTTCAAGACGACTGAGAAGTTTCTCTTTGCTTTCGAGCAACCCTACTCTCATTCAAGGCATGTTACTAGCCCTGCATCAAAGACCAAATTTCAGCTATATGGCACGGAGATTTTGACATAAATTAAGATGTTGACACTAATGAAACAAACATTATTGGCTCGAGAATCCGAATATAGTTGTTCCCTATATTTATTATACTTATATCAATTCCAACTGCCATGACTTCTCTATGTCGTCATGGAGTCTGATAATACTTTTCTCAAACGCATCAAGACAAAAAGGCAAGACCGAAAGGATCACACATATGTCATCAATCATTTCTAATATCACATTCATGTAATTCAAGTAAAAGAATTCAAATTCCCTTAAACAAAGTCTAAGTTCAAACCTTGTGAATATAATAACATCCTTTGAAAGAGATACTTAAATGGGACCAAACAATGCTCCACACCATATCAGTCTATCTAAATGGGACTGTAGGATACTAGAGGTCAAGGTAAAAACTGATTTCAAGCTCTTTCTATCGATACAACAATTATACCACTTAATCAACCAAAGTGACAAAACATCTATACACTCCAACTCAAAATTATTTTGGATGAAATTTAAAGTCGATCAGAAATGCCTCCATACATTAATCTAGACTAGAGTATATCTCATTGGCTCAAACTAATCTTACCTTATAATAAAACAAATGAATGGAGACTAATGAGTACAAAAAAATTTAAAGAAAAAATAAGTTGAGAAGTAGTATGGAAAAGACTCACCTCAGTTCAACCTCTCGGAGATTTTCTAGCTTTCAATTGATGGTGATCTTAATTACCAGTTTGAAGAGAGTGTTTTATCATATCAATCATGGATTCATGGGGGAAAATGTGGTTAAAGCTAGCGACCAACGTGTTTGACAGAAGTTTTATTAGAAGACAAGGATAGAAGAGCACCTGCAGATGAAGGAATGCTACTTCTCTCAACTCTAAATCACTTCAACAATGGAGAAACGCAGCCATTTCTCTCACTTCAGTAACAATCAGTTTAGACTTTTGAATAGGTATTAGTCTCCCATGAGAAATTAAGAACTAGCTGAGTGTTTTGGTTGGAGGAACATATGATTAGGTGGGAAAAATGAATTACCCTTTCACAGAGATGAATAATGTGGTTTACACCAAAAAAAAAAAAAAAAAAAAAAAAAAAAAAAAAAGATGAATAATGTGAGAATAAAATGATAATTTTAATTTTAATTTAGTTTGTAAGATTAGAATTATTGAGATTTTTAATTTCATTGTTCATACTTATTATTATTATTAGTATTTTTTATGCGCGCGATGTGCACAAAATAGGTGTCCAATATTAGTACTTTATATTAAAATTTTAAATTTATTTAGATTTTAGATATTTAAATTATTATAAATAATAATAATAATGTGAAACATTTTTATAAATTTTATATTTATATTTTATAAATTAACTAACATATAATTCTAATATATAATGTGTATATATTATTATTATTATTATTATTATTATTATTATTATTGAAGAAGATAAGAAAATATATGGTGAATGCATATGCATGATAACAATAGTGGAAAAGATAACGGATGTTATAACGGTAGGGGTATGTTCGTCCAAAATATTGTAAAAGGACATAAATGAAGGGCATAACCTTCATTCACACTTATTATGTTTTTAGATTATTATTATTATTATTATTATTATTATTATTATTATTATTAAATGATCAAATTCAAATTTTGCTTTTGAACATTTATATAACACGTTGTAAATAAATTTTAAAATTGCATAACGAAAGTAATAAAATAGATAAAAAAGTTTGGACAAAACATATTTGATAGATTTGTCTATTGATTGATGTTCTGTGTTGAGGGTAGAAGAAGACACGCAATTATCCAAAGAGAGATCAAACATTAATTTTAGGTTTTTTTTTTTTTTTAAAAAAGGTAATTTTATTTCAAAGTTATTTTTTATCTTCCTGAAATCCATGGAAATGAAATACCAAGGGGGACATAGGACTCAAATTCCATGAAAATGAGGGAATTTCAATTCCGCAAAATTACAATTCTCTCCGACCAAACGAAAGAATTTGCTTGCCTTCGAAATTATGTGGAATTAGATGGGAATGGAATTGTAATTTCCTCCAACCAAATGCTCTGTAGTAGCACCGTGTAATCCCATCCATTTGTATGTAATGATCAAGGAATGAAACTAAGGAAAATGAGAAAATGCAGTGATATTTTTATAATTACCATGGTGTATTTATAAACACTTAACACTGTATCTGTGGGTAATTAATAGTACACACATGAAAACAAAACTTGTGTAAGACCGTCTCACGAATCATTGTTAAAAAATAAAGTGTTTATTACTTATATGATAACGTGTAACACTTTTTAAAAAATGTAATATTTTTACATTTTGATTTAAAAGTATTTTATTTTTCCTTAAAAGTATTTTAAAAGGACCCAAGTTCTCTAGCTGTGAGGGTGTACAAGGCTCAATATTACCCAACAACCTCCTGCGAGGGTGTACAAGGCTCGGTATTACCAAACAACCTCCTTTATTGATGCAACTGTAGGAAATTGCCCAAGTTTTTGCTGGCAGAGTATTATGGCCGCACATGATATGGTCTGCTCTGGTGTTCAGAGGAGGATTGGAAATGGTGCAACAACACTAATTTGGGGCTACCCGTGATTACCTGATGAGAGGCTTTAGTGGTACGCCTAATTGATCAGCATACTAATACATGGGATCCTCATATTTTATCAGATTTGTTTGATCCGGATGATGTGGCTGGTATATCTAGGATCCCGGTTAGCCCGGATTATGAGGACTCATGGTATTGGCTTAGTGATCCAAAAGGGTTATATACAGTTTAAAATGCTTACAGGAAGATTGTTGGAGATTTTGGCCTTAACCCTGGTGCTTTTGATAAATGGGTTACATTGTGGAAATTGAAGGTCACCCGAAGTGGAAAACTTTTTTGTAGAGAGCTTTGTGTGATATCCTCCCTACTACAAACAATTTACTTATAAAGAGAGTGGAAGTGGAACCGACATGCCCAATGTGTGGTTTAAGTCCTTACGTTCAAGTCATGCGACTATCCTATCTTACGTCGGGATGGTTGTAGACCAGTGCCGGGCGACTTTATCTTTGTTTAATCATTACTCTTTAAATATTATCTCTAGACCAATTAATTTACATGCTCATACTTTAGCTTCGATAGCTTTTAATCAGGATGACTTTATGTATTGGGACTTTGTCCTTCCTGACTCTATTGCTTCATTCATTCATTAATATATGCTAACGCTGTTGGTTTTCAAAAAAAATAAAAATTTAATACAACTTATTTTGTAAGCAAATGTAAAATAGAAATTAACTAAAATCCTGGTAATATTGTTTCCATATTCAAAGCTTTCACGTACTAACGTAATACCCTATATAATCAATTTAAACAATTTATAATATAACATAACAAATTCATATATATATATATGCTACAACCTCACGGTCAAATCTATATTATAATTAAAAACAAAATTCTATTTACTTGATTTCCTGCCCAAACAATAGTAAATAGTAAAGGTAAATTAAAAAAAAAAGAATGAAAAAAATGAACATAAATATTTCACAATAATATTCTACATCATCAATTAAAAATGGAATGGAAATTAGGTAAATTGGAAAAAGAAATGAATATTAATAATTCACTGAAAATTAAAAATGAAAAAAAAAAAGAATTGAAGTTAGGTTAACTGGAAAAAAAAATGAATATTAATAATTGACTGAAAATAAAAAATGATCAATAATTGATTAAAATGAAAAAGGAAATGGTCAGTTTATTGCATTTTAATTTTTCACAATATAATACATCAAATCACAATTATGTCATAAATCTTTCACAATTTTAAACAATGAAATGGAAATTAAAAATGGAGCAAAAATATTTTAATAATAATATTCTACATCATCAAGTAAAAGTAAATTAAAAATGAAAAGGAAATAATTAAATAATAATATTTTACATCATCAATAGTAAATACATATTTTAAACAATAGTAAAGGTAAATTAAAAATGCAACAAAAATAAAAAATAAAATAGAAATATTTCAATAATAATATTCTACATCGTCAATTAAAAATGGAACGAAAATTGAGTAAAAATATCACTGCATCTGATATTCTAATTGGCTAATTGACTAATTGGCTGAAAATAAAAAAGAATAATTAGCTGAAAATGAATATGACATTACAAATTCACTAAAAAATATAAAAAGAAATAAATACTAATAGTTGACTGCAAATAAAAAAATGATACATAATTGATTAATATGAAAAAAATTAATGGTTAGATCATTGCATTTTAATTAACAATGGAACGAAAACTAAAATTTGACGGAAATATTTCAATAATAATTCTACATCATAAATAGTAAATGCATATTTTAAACAATATTAAAGATAAAATTAAAAATGGAACGGAAATATTTCAATAATATTATTATACATCATCAATTAAAAATGGAATGAAAATTAGGTAAAAATATCACTGCATATGATATTTTAATTGACTAATTGACTAAAAATATAAAACAATAATTTGCTGAAAATGAATTTGATATTACTAATTGACTTAAAATATAAAAGGATCACTAATTAACTAATACTCTAACATTATATATTTTCACCCGAGTCA